TTATTCTTCTGTAAAACACCCATCACAGTGATACTGGCACTCAGGTTTTTTGCTTGTTTGGTTTTTTTTTTTTTTCTACTGTATTTTCATTATAATGATGATTCTAAAATGAAAGTGAGAAGGTAAACTAAAAATGTCCTTAGCCATTTGTGGATCTGTATTTTACTTTACGTGAAATTGCAAGGAAAATGGGCCGGAAATTGCTGTGCAAAACATTATTCAAGTTGTTTATTATTGCTGAATTTTGCAGTTTCATGAATGTGTTAGTTAAAAAAGCATATTGTTCTCTTTATTATAATTATGCTTTTAACAAGATAAAGCCACTCTTAGCCATGCTTCCATGATTTCCCTTGTAGCTACTTATTTTCTTTGTTCTGTAAAAGCTATGAGTTTCCAGAAGGATAGTCATAAAATCATACACCTCACAGAGACTTGAAAGCTGTTAGCCAATCTTTGCCTGCAGGCAGAGCTGGCCCCAAACCTACTAGACGGATGAAAACATACATAATTGGAAAAATATAAAGCGAATGCTTTCCTGATGGGGAACATTACTTATTTAAAAAGAAACTTTATGTCTTTCCTTCATTCGATACGTCTGGGTTGACAATATCAATAGGAAGTGGTCAAGGCACTTCAAGGACAGGCCCTGTCTGTTTTGCTAGCAGGAAGCAGTCGGAATGGCAACTGGGATTTGCTGTTATTGTTCTTACTGGTGAGTATTCTGCTCCGTTCACCCTACTGGCTTCTGCCAGCGGCCATGACATTTAGAAAATAATATCCTCAGAAAATGTTCAAAACAATGTGCACTGCACTTCTAAAGAAATAAAGTCCAAGCCAGCTCAATGGCCATTTTGCACTTTCCTCTTGTCACCAATACTTCAGTTGATTTTTAAAAATACATATCATTGCATCATAAATAGTTTCAGATTCTGGTGTGATGTTTATATATATATTTTTTTTTTCTAATAAAAGCACACCATTTGATTAACCTAATATACCACTGTTGATTATTTTTTTTATTAACATTTAGTGAGACAAGAAACATGTTCGAGCTGATTTTGCTCCCATGAAAGGAATGTCTAATCCAAAGTTTCAGAATTGAGCATTTTTCAAGACTTAATGTATATTTTCAAACTGCTTTTTCCGAGTGGTCTTCCTAATTTTCTTCACCTCAGCCACCTGTGAGTGCTCCGGTGCTGAATGTTCCGGTGCTTTGGGTTTGCACTGTTTGGAAATGATGTCATGGATGTATTCAGTAATCTCTTGTGGATCAGATAAACGGGGAAGACATTCACCTTATCTGCTAGCTTCCCAAAACCTCAAGGTCCAGTACAGATTATTAGGGAGTGACCGAAAAACTGTCTATTATTGTTATTAAATATGTTTCAGCTGCTGGTTCATTCCCCAATTGGTCGCAGTGACTGGAGCTGAGCCGATCTGAAGCCAGGAGTCCATAGCCTCTTGTGGATATCAAGGACTTGGGCCATCCTCCACTGTTTTCCCAGGCCATAAGCAGGGAGTAGGATGGGAGACGGAGCAGCTGGGACACAAACCGGCACCGGTATGGGATGCTGGTGCTTGCAGGTGGAAGATTTGCTGGCCTCCTGACCTGAAGTCATGTCTCAGCGATTGGTTGAAAGACGTGCAGACAGGGTGGTCAGCAAATGAGAACTGCAGCTGTGGCTGCCAACAGCTCTGTCTGGATCTGTTGCCCTCCTTGATGCATATCAGAAGGGGACATTTTCAAGATGATTTTCTCTATCCAAATTTGATTGCATTTGCCTTTTTGTGAAGTCTTTGGTGGCTCCAGGTGTCATGGATAGATTGCAGATGCTAAGTCCCAGATGAAGGCACCAAGAGGAAAACCTGAAGCAACAGAAGCCTGGCCCGGGCACAGGCCCCACCCCAGAGGACTTGAGTTCTGTTTTCAAGCTTTTGCTGTTACATCTTCCAAAGTGCCCATCAGTGCAGTGAGCTGAGTATTGATTTTACAAGGCTGTTTAGGGGATTAGATGAGAATTCACCAAAAGAGCCTAACACCTTGTCCTATCCACTCCTTTCTCTCATTCCTCTTGAGCCTCACCTCAACTTTGGTGTTATCCCACCTGCCAGGTGTTACTGCACCTGCACTGATGGAGTCCCCCTGCTCATTCTGATTTCCCCCGTCAAAGTTGTGGTCTTCACATCTCCACACTCCCGTCTGAGACCTAAGGAGGCAGCTGTCAGACTGAGTTCTCCAGCGAGCTCAGTCCACATGCTCAGTCAAACGTGCCCTTCTGACTTCCAGCTTTGACCATAGCAAACTTTGTGCCAGAACCGGGGCCTTCAGAAACGGAGCCGTGTCCCAGTGTTCTCTGTATCCTTACATCGCCCCAGTGCAATGCGGGCCTCCAGAAGAAGCTACTGTTTGTTGTTTTATTTAACCTCCTATCCTCCACCCCCCTCCTTTATTCTTTGTATTTATATGCAGTGACATCCTACGTTGAACACATCCTCCGTGAACAATAGAGATGGAAGGCGGTGAACTCCCCCTAACCTCCAAGCAGCCACACCAAATCCCAAGGAGTGAATGAAATGACAGTTCTAAGGAAGGGAGGGAGAGCTGGCTCATCAGGAAAAGCAGGGTTGGTATGTCTAAATCTGTCAGATTTGGGACAGAAGCCAAGATCAGAGATCCAAGACTATTCCAGTCCATTTATTATTTATATAGCGCATATTGCTGCAGTCTCGAAGCACCTCTCAATGAAATATAACACACCTTTGGGAGCGAAGAAGGAAACGAGGCACGCGGTGGAGTGGGGGGAGGGGGAAGCGGGGAAGGGGTGGGGACGCAGGTCAGCACGCTGAGCGCAGAGCGCCCCTCCCTCCCGACACAGGTGTGAATGCTGCATTGTTCCGTCTCAGTGGCACCCATTTACACTGGAGCTGTAAGCTGAGCTTCACAGAAAAAAGCTTTCTTTACCCTTTCCCTTTGTGTAAAATAGTCAGGGTCGCCAGGGAGAAGGCATCTGCTACGCTGGTGTCCACCCTGAAACTCCAATCCTGGTCAGAATGTAACCCAAGACCAATGCTCACCAGGGAAACCTCGGCCTTCAGGTTCTCGTGTGTGTGTGCGTGTGTGTGTGTGTGTGTGTGTGTGCACGTGTGTGTGTGTGTTTGGTTGAAGATCACAAATGTTAAAGCGTTTGGAGTCCCAGTTTGACTCTGATTCTGTATCCTCTAGCTTTCGGGATTCTCCAGAGGAAAGCAGAGCTTCATGCGGTATCATCAGAACACGTAGGCGCACCTGCCCTCTGCCCCGACTGCGCCTGCGTGGCTGCTCACACGTGCACACACACACCTGCTGTCGCCCTAGCCCAAGTCTTCAAGCAGCGCCCTTCAGGATTTCTCCGAACTCAGAACACCAACACAAAACTTTACCACCAGGAACCAGCATTTTCAATGATTTTAAAGGCCACCTTTAGGTAAATTCCTTTTATTGGAAAGGGGAGGTGATGGGGCATGGGAGACTTTGAAAGCCTTTTTTTTTTTTTAAATGAGGTTGCAGATTTCCTTGCCAAATCTTTGCACCTACAGAAGTTAAATACAGCTGCCTCCGCCTGGGGGCCCAATATTATCTTCAATGATTAAAAGCACTGACTCCGGTGGGAGCCGAGCGCTCGCCGGCGTGGAGATGATTACTCTGTGAGTGGCGGTAGCAGGGCAGCAGGGGCTAGGACGTAAGCGCCAGGAGAGTCAGCTCCTACAGTGACGCGGGCAAGCGGCCTCAGCTGTCCAACCTGGCTGGAGGTGGACAGAGGTACAGGAAAGGTCTGGAAAGGGGAACCGCCTTCTTAAAACTGGAGTCTGGGGTTGTCCTCTACTCTCAATGGGTTCAACAGGGCTGCTTTCTGACATGGTTGCAGGGAAAAGAGCCTGCAGGTGTGCGTGGTTAGAACAGTAACTACAAGAGAGGAGGGGCAATCAAAACGGGCCGGTGGGAGGCGAGAGTGTGTGTGCTGGGAAGCAGGACCCTCCGGCTCCCCAGGAATATTAGGAGTTAGGGTCTTTCCTGCCAAGATAGGGGAGGAATTGTTTCAGAGGGAAGATGACCATGAAGTGAAATTGTTCGTTTAAGCGGCAGAGACAGATGGAAAAAGAACTAACGAAAACTCCTTGCCTGTTAACTGACTCCTCCAGGTGATTGCAACAGCCTGGGCAGGGCCGCTGAAAGCCAGGTGCCGTGACCTCAATGTGGGGGTCCCAGGTAAGTTGAGAGGGACCCAGATTCTTAAGCTGCTCCCTGGGTGTGCCCTTAGGGAGCTGGGATCAGGAGTGGAGCTGGTGTCTCAACAGGTAGGTCAAATGTTGGCTCCAGACACAAATTTTGAAGCTGGAATAACGTTAAAATGATTGGAACAGCTGATGTGTGGATTTGTTTCCTACACCATGCGTAGATTTTGTCTGCTTAGGTGGGAGCCTGGGCAAGGGAGGAGAATGGGCCGTGTCTCTATCAGTGACAGCGTGGTGACAGCAGAAAGCAGTTCATCTGAGCCCTCTGGAGGAGAACCTACGACAAAAGGCGTGGGATGTGTGGAGTCCAGGACGGGAGCTGCTGGGATCTGTGGCTCCCTGCCTGACCCCCAGCCATTGCTGTGCTCTGTCTGGTGTAACTGCACAAGCTTAACTCGGAATCTTACTTATCCATTCATGTTTAAAGTTTTCTGAAAAATGTGTAATATTTAGCCCAGTAGCATGATGAAGAAAAACCAGCAGCTGTTCCACTTAGTGCTTCCACTGATCAATTTCCATCTTTAAAAAACATTTATGCGTTTATTTTGAAGTGTAGAGAGAGAAATCTTCCATCTGCTGGTTTACTCCCCAGCAGTTACAACAGCCAGGCTGGGCCAGGCCAAATCCTGGAGCCCGGAATTCAATCCAGGTGTCCCAGATGGGTGGTAGGAGCCCATTTGCCTGAGCCCTCTCTTCTGTGGCTTCCTTAGGCATACGAGTGGGAACTGAAATAGCAGCAGATGGTATAGAACTGTCACGAGCAGCGACTTAACCTGCTCCCCCACGTTGCCAGTCCCCACTCACTCGTATCATTTTTCTTAAAGCTTGATCTTCGTGACAACCCTATGAGGACAGAGATCACGCTGTCCCTTGCTGGAGAAGAGGATGGAGGCCCTTGTTCTAAACCCAAACTCTCAGCATGCTTTATCCTGCACCACGAGCTCCTGGCAGCATCCCTGGCACCTGAATAGGTAGGTCTTTCATGATATGTGTGAAAGTTTGTTGTTGTTGTTCCAGGGACTCCTTAACTCACGCTCTGGGAAGCTCTGGCTGCATGTAGTTGGTTTTTACATTCAGCAGGGTGGTGGACCTGCGTCTTCCAGTTTTTCAAGAGAAGATGGATTTTGATTATTATTTGCACAAACTCATCTGTTTCCATGTTGGCTTAATTGGATGGAGACTAAATAAAAGCCCTGGCAAATTAAGTCCTTCGTGGAAACCACGCATGTGAGACTGTTGCTTGCCTTGACATAGCTAATTCCCTGCAGGTGTAGCTCTCCAGTGGTTGCACCAGCCAGGATCGGGCCAGACTAAAGTCAGGGGGCTAGGAACTTCATCTGCGTCTCACTCCTAGGTGCAGAGCTCCAAGTACTTGGTCCATGTTCTGCTTTTCAGGTGCACAACCAGAGACCTAGAAAGTGGCCAGGATTCGAACTGGCACCTATATAGGATGCTGGCATAGCAAGTGGCGGCTTTACCAACTACACCACAGTGCCAGTCTGGCAGCAGGTCGTCGTCAGCCCTGGTCTTCCATGTGTGCAGGAAACTTCTCATCATCAGATTTTTCTCCCCTAAAGGATTAAGACTTAGGAAAGAAATGATGACAGGAGAAATTTGTGGGTTACAACAAATTGTTTAAAAATTTATTTTAGAAACAGAGAGAGAGAGAGAGAGAGAGAGATGGATGGATAGAAAGCATTCCTTTGCACTGGTTTACTCCCCAAATACTCCAAGTGGCAGGGATGGGTCTGGGCCTCTTAGCTAGAAGCCAGGCATACCACCCAGGCCTTCCACATCAGTGGAAGGGACCCCACTATTCTGAGTCGTCACCGCTGCCTCCCAGGGTCCTCATTAGCAGAAAGCTGGAGTCAGAAGCAGCAACATGCTGAGCCCAGGCACCCTAATGAGGGATGCCAGCTTCTTTTTTTTATTTTAATTTTATTTTATAACATTTTATGACACAGTTGGGATTCCCCCAAGCCCTCCCCCCATACTGAATTCCTCCATATTGTTACAGTAGTACAGATCATATCCAGTCATGATTCCTTCATTGCGGATATGCATCATGCAGAGAGTCCAGTATCTTATTGTCCAGATAAATTCAACAGTTTCATTGGGAAACTGGGATGCCAGCTTCTTAACCAGCACGTCAAGCCTCTGCCCTGAGCAAAATCGTTTTTTTTGTTGTTGTTGCTTGCTTTATTTCTTAGCATCCAGAGCCTGGCTGAACTGAGAGTAGGTAGCTAGCTGAAAGTCGGGGAGAGTGAAGAGGAGTATGGCCGTTGCCTGTGAAGGAATGAAAACTGACAGCACCTTAGGAAGTATTAAATAATAATGAAACAGAAAGGAATAGGCCCCAAAGAGACTGCTTCAAGCGTGCCTGCAGTTTCCTAGGGACCAGAGTTTAACACATTGCTTCTGGTAGCACAGGGCTTTTGCTATTACAGAAATAAGTGCAGAATGAGAAAGGTGGCATAAGAAGACAAGGGCCACGGCCATTGCTTGAAGCAAAGATCACACCTTGGGGCAGATAAGACAAGAGATTTTGACAATAAGCCCAGTGTAAAGTTACATCTCAGGCTCTGCCTTTGGTCATGTTAAGGCCTTGTCTGTGACACATTAGCAATCCAGACACAATATTTCTTCATTCCTGTTGCCCACAAAGTATCAGGCGTTGTCAAGGAAAGGCCTGGGAAATAGTGGGATTGGAGTTTCAGGAAGGACTCAGTGTCCTTGTCCCCCACACCCACCTCGAAATAGTCACATCAAACCTTAAACTGTTTCATGCAATACAAAATGCTACATGTTAGCAATGGCTCCCAGTAGACATCACTTTGCATTCATCTGAACATAGTTCAAGCCACACTTACTCTCTGCCTCTCTCTTACACAGCCACTTCGTTTTCATAAGAAAATGCAAAGAGGAGCACTTTCTAGGAAGCATCTTGATGATACTTTAACAGTGAAATGCTGTTTATATGTATTTGATCTTAAGGCTGTCTAGATGAGGCTGGCGGTTTCAATGACTGTATATGAATTGACTCCAAAAATGTCATGGGAAATGGAATGAAAAGAGAAGTTTATTTTCATGCAAAAAATCCTGGGATCTCTGGAGAGGAGAATTCCTCACAGAAGTTCATAGGAAAAGTGTATGATGAGATAAAATATGCCTGGATTCCAAAACCTTTTTGCACCAGAATAAATACATAATTTCTTAAGGGAAGATTTATTTACTTACGGAGAGTCAGATTTACAGAGACAAAGGAAGATTATTCCCTACATGGTTTCAACAGTCAGTACTAGGCCAGAGCCAGGAGCCAGGAGCTTCTTCTAGGTCTTCTATGTGGGTAATAGGGGTCCAGTTACTCAGGCCATCTCCAGCTGCTTTTCCAAAGGGGGTCCTGGTGCATGCAATGTGAGGAAAGAGGGGCTGGCATCCTGGTGCATGCAAGATGAGGATTTAGCCATTGAACCATTGCACCGGGTCCAAGCCCATGTTTTATATTCTGATTTTAAGAGTCAACTTGTGATTAGGGAACAGGGACGAGAGCTTAGGCTGCTGCCTGAGACACTCACACCCCATGTTGGATTGCCGGTTGGAGTCCTGCCGGCTCTGCTTCTGATCCAGCTCCCTGGTGATGTGCCTGGGAAAGCAGGAAGCAAAGGATGGCCCAAGTGCTTGGACTCCTGCAGCCCACATGGGTGACCAAAGTCTTCGGACTTTGGCTTGGCCCAGCTGCTAGTGTCACAGCCATACATGGAGTAAACTACAGGATAGGAGGTGTGTGTGTTTAACTGCCACTTTACCTTTCAGATGAATGACATTTTTTAAAGGTTTATTTTGTTTTTATTAGAAAGTCAGATATACCAACAGGAGGAAAGACAGAGAGGAAGATCTTCCATCTAATGATTCACTCCCCAAGTGGCCACACAGCTGGAGATGATCTGAAGCCAGGAGCCCAGGAGCCCATAGCCTCCTCAGGGTCTCCCACATGGGTGCAGGGTCCCAAAGCTTTGGGCCGTCCTTGACTGCTTTCCCAGGCCACAAGAAGGGAGCTGGATGGCAAAAGGGGCCACCAGGATTAGAACCGGCGCTCAAATGCAAAGTGAGGACTTAGCCGCTAGACTACCACACCAGGCCCAAGGAAATCTTTTTATTCTGATTTTAAATAATGTTTTGAGCTTTTAGTCATTTGGTATATATCTCAACTAAAAAATATTACTAGTTAGCACTGCATGTAAGTTGCTTTGTCAATATCTTCCCAAGCAAATGGATAAACATGTTTAGGTCAGAATTCCTACCTGGGTACTTCAAAAAAATTCGTGGGAAAATGGAATTTAAATATATTTATATTATTTATACATATATTTAAATATATATATATATGCCCCAAAGCACTTTGAAATCTGCGTATGTTAGGGCCATCAAAAAAAAAAAAAACATGGAAGTAAATGTTACGAAAAAGCAAGCATGCACTTCAAGTTTTGGTTCCCCCAAAACGTAACACTGAGTCCCATTTTGTATAAACTTTTTGAGTGTCCTGGTCCACGAATGGCTAGTGGGAAAGGAGCCTGTCAAGTGTCCCTGTGTGCTGCTTCTGGTCCAGGCTTTGACTCTGCGCTGGTAGGGGCTGCGGTACAGGTCCTCGTGGCCCTAGGCCAGCAGCAACGCCTGTGGAACTATAGAACGGAAAGTCTGCTGAACCCGGCTGGCCGCCTTTCTGAAAGATGAGAATGCAAAGCCCAATACAGTGGGACTCCTTTGCAACATTTTCCAGGGAACTGAGCGTTTTGAATGCTGTACGTGGGAAACATGCGCTGGGAGGGCACACAATGCCGGCATTTCTCCATGCTTCTGCTCCCCGACTGTGCCCCGGCACCCTGGGCAGGAGGCTGGGACCCCCCAACCCCCTCAGCACAGGGCAGCCTACCTTCCTCCCCTCTTCGGCCAATTAACCTCCCTCCAGAACAGAGGCAGGTCTGTTCTCTGATTGTGTGCTTTGGAGAATGTCTGAGAAAATGCGGTGATTATTTAAGTTAGTTGGGGTGGCCAGGGGAGCGGCCGAACAGTGCCCTCCATAGACTGCGTAGCTCACTAATGGCCAACAGGCAGCTCGGGAGCACAGTGAGCCTGCTCTGTGGCGTGTGTCCTTGGCTCTACATGTTGGGTGTTGGCGTCAGTTGCCTTTCCTCTTAAAAAAAAAGAAGAAGACTGGTACATAACACATAGCGATTGCACATACTCATGGCATACAGAATGGTTTCTTGATACACGAATACAGTGAGTCGTGATGAGGTATGTGTGAAATCATGCTACCATTCTCCTCCTTGAAACTCTGTCTGCTCTCACTTGAGATTATTTAGAGTTGCACACGGCTGAGGACAAAGTCTCAGAACGCCAGCGAGCACTGGGGACGCCGGGGGCCTCACTGGGGATGGGGAGGCAGGAGGGAGTGGCTAGTTAGATTGACTAAACAGCTCCAGCCTTAGTAGTGTGGATGTTTGGTTTGGTTGGTAGAAGTTTGGGATATTCTGCTTCATCAGGAGTTTGTGCTACTTCAAAGTTTTCTGTAACCTAATAATGTAGCAGATAAAGGGATAACGACTGAGCATGATAAGTCATAAGAGATAAAAGCTAAGTATTCCACTCACACAACAGGGCTGCAGGGAGAGGACTGTTTTCAGTTTAAAACTTGGTGTAAAGTTTCTTTGATAAAAAATCAGGAGGCAAAGAAGCAGAGGAAATTTTTCAAAATACAAAATTTTTTGTACTTTTTTGATGAAAAAAGCAAATGGTTTTAGGTATAAATAATATATGGGCAGGGTTTTTCCCTTTTCTCTTAGGTCTAAAGTAACTTCAGAGCAAATTTATTTAGGAGGTGATTCTTTTGTTTCCCGATAGTAACATCCTACTTTTTTTTCCCCCATTATAGTTTTTTAATTAAAAAAAATTTTAATGCACTTAATTAGAT